TAAAAGATACATGTATTCCATATATAATGGGTCAAATTTAAGGTCATATATAGAAATCCGGGAATTCAATAAAAAGAAATCATGTCGTCATAACATAAATAGGTCAACAATATGACTATAGAAAACAATGACATATATACTAACGTTTATAACTTAATATTGTAAACATCCACATAAATAAATAAAAAAATTCTTACTTTTTAGGATCGTGTTTATTGATGAATAAGATATTAATGGTATTGACTTTTTATGGTTGTATTAAAAAAAAGAAATAAAAAAAGAAAAAATGAACTTACCACAATTAATAATATTTTATTCTCTGTAAATAGATATCCAAAACTATCACTTTTTATGTTTAAAAAAAAAAAAAAAAAGCATCTTTTACAATATAAAAACTAGATACAAGTGGTTTTTGTTAAAATGAGATCGTCTTCATTTGAACTGTTATACATACATGTACACGCACGTGTGTATTTATGTATGTATGTGTGTGTTTGTGGGTTTTTATGAGCAAACCTCCAATCTTAATATCACAACCGATAAAAGTCATCTAATGATCGTGATTTTGTATTGGTCATGACTTTAATAATATCAAGTACTTACCTTTAATCTTAGTCATTGTTCAAAGCACAATTTAAATTAGTTAGTTATGGTCTCTCTCTCTCTCTCTATATATATATATATATATTATTATATATATATATTATATATATATATATATATATATATATATATATATATATATATATATATATATATATATATATATATATAATATATATAATATATATATATATATATATGGTTAAGTTCAAATGAGAACACTATTTAATGTGAGAACGTGAGAACACTACTTTATGTTATTATTTTACTATAAAATTTATATATATGTATAGTAATTTAATTAATTCTAACGTAAATGTTAAATATGTGATTATTCATATATTCGGTGATGAATAATATTATAAAGTTGTACATATAAAGTTTTAAAGTGAATATTAATTTGTGATTATTCGTATATTTGTTGATGAATAATGTCATATCGTTGTATATACAAAATTCATAGTAGAATAGTAACATAAAGTAATGTTCTCATGTTCTCACATTAAATGGTATTCTCATTTGAACTTAACCCTATATATATATATATATATATATATATATATTATATTATTATATATATTATATATATATATATATAATATAAATATATATATATATATATTATATATATATATATATATATATATATATATCAATTATGTATAAATATCATTAATACTTGTCAAAATTTTAAATACTTTAATTCATTCGGAATGTTATTAAAAAATTTAATTTGAATCAAAATGATAATATTAATATACTAAATTCATGCATGTAAGTTAATTCAAAATTCTTAAACTAGACACCCGTATTAATTTTTTATTGTTAAAAAAAAAGACACCGGTATTAATTACTTTACATAAATTATATAAACATGCAATATAAATATAATTTTGGTTTAATAATTAGAAAAAAATAGTTTTATGGGTGTTTATTTAACTTAGGATTACAATTTTGGTTTAAAAATATAATATATAACTTTTAACTATATACAAAATGGTCTCTTGAATTTATTTTTTTCAAATTTAACTGAAATTTTGACTTATATTAACCGTTTAACATTATATTGAAATTAATAACTTAACTATTTTGCATAAAATCATAAATTAAACAAAATTTGTGACATTAAAATGACAAATGCTTAAATACGACAACGTAGTAAACTAATAAATTAACTATAATATGTTAAAAAGTTAAACTTATAATTTTATAAATAGTAGTACAATATGATAATTATTATTGTAGTTTAAATAAATTATGATTAGAATTTAGTGTTTGCATTAATTTAACATTATTAACCAAGTTATATTAGTTATTAGAAAGAAATCGAAAAGTCATGGACGTTTCAAATGCATATGGTGCAAGTAAAAATACCACTTTTATAAGTATAATAGACGAATGTCCGCGTGTTGCGTAAAAGCATCTGTATAGCTGAAATCTTTACAAATATATGTTTCTTTACATATAAGAATAATGTTATTGTTAACTTTGATATAATAATTCATCTACTAAGTTAATATAATATTTTGATTATTTTAAATTATATGATAATGTATATACATCTATTAAAACTGCATAATCTAAATCTTTTGAATGACATTTATCCGCGAGTTACTTATGAATAAAATTATATATATATATATATATATATATATGGTTTATTGTTATTTATAGTTGTTGTTATTGTTAATTAATTTTTTTAATTATTTGCTTAACGTTTTAATTTCTATCATTATAATTATTTAAAACATAAAACAATTTTTATTTTATTTTAAATGTAACAATATAATAATAATACAGAGTCATTTTTAACTGTTGTTATGGCATGAAAACTTTTAACGATTATAAAAATATCTAAAGGAAATATTTTAGTTAAATTGACATTACAATTTAGTTTTTCCATTTAGAACTACAATTTATCATTTTTAACTATTCATCAAATATTATTTGAGTTTTTTAAGTGGAACTGAAATTTATATTGAAATTGACCCTATAATGTAATATTTAAATTAACAATTTAAGTATTTTGTCAAATTTGTTAAAAAAATTATAGCTTTAAACTGATAATGGTTTATACACAACAACATATTAAATCTAATGAATGAATTATAATATGTTAAAGTTAAATACATAACTTTATAAGTAGAAATAAAAATATTATTTTAAAATTGAAATTTGGTTTATTGATAATTACAATTTACACTTGATACTTATTTAACCTTATTAACCGACTTATAATCATTATTAGAAACAAACTACAATTTATTACATTTAACTATTTACAAAATATTCGTTGGGTTGTTTAAGTTGAACTAAAATTTATATTTAAGTTGATCCTGTAAGGTTATATTTAAATAAACAAATTAAGTATCTTATACAAATTGTTCAAAAGTTGTAGCTTTAAAATGATAATGGTTTACATACAACAACATATTAGACATAATAAGTTAAGTATAATATGTTAAAAGTTAAAAACATAACTTTATAAGTAAAAGAAAATATATTATTTTAATATTAAAATGTAGTTTATATATGATTACACTTTAAGTTTGATATTTATTTAACCTTCTTAACCAACTTATACTCATTATTAGAAAGAAAATTGAAAAGTCATGGGAGTTTCAAATGAATGTGATGAAATGAAAAATGCATAGGAGTTTCAAATGAATGTGGTGAAAAGAAAAATACTTCTTTTATAAATATACTAGGCGAATGTCCGCACGTTGCGTAGAAACACCTATATAGTTGAAGTCTTTACAAATATATGTTTTTTTAAATATATAAATAAAATTGTTGTTAAATTTGAAATAATAATTTGTATACTAAATTGATATAATATATTAATTATTTTGAAATATATAATAATATATACATCTATTATAACTGTATAATCTCAATCGTTTGAAATGACTTCTATCCGCGAATAACACATGAACAAAATTAGATATAATATATGGTTTACTATTATTTATAAATGTTGTTATTGTTAATTAATTTTTTAAAATTTATTTGCATAATGTTTTAATTTCTATAATTATAATTATTTAAAACATCAAACATTGTTTTTTTGATTTTAAAGGTAACAATACAATAATTTGTATAGAATTATTTTTAACTATTGTTACTGTAAGTTATTGTAAGCTACTTATTTAAAAACTTTTAATGATTATAAAAATATCTTTATGAAATATTTTAGTTAAATTAAGATTACAATTTAGTTTTTGTATTTATCACTTTTAACTATTTACAAAATATTCTTTGGTTTTTTAAGTGGAAGTTAAATTTATATTTAAGTTGACATTGTAATGTTATATTTAAATTATCAATTTACGTATTTTTTTTTAAAACTGTTCAAAAGTTGTAGCTTTAAATTGATAATGGTTTACATACAACAACATATTAAATCTAATAAATTAAGTATAATATGTTAAAAGTTAAAAACATAATTTTATAAGTAGAAGTAAAAATATTATTTTAAAATTAAAATTTATTATATATTTTTGTTACACTTTAGGTTTGATATTTATTTAACCTTATTAACCAACTTATAATCATTATTAGAAAGTCACTATAATTAATCACCTTTAACTATTTACAAAATATGATTTGGGTTGTTTAAGTTAAACTAAAATTTATATTTAAGTTTACTCTATAATGTTATTTTTTTTAATAAATAATTTAAATATTTTATAGAAATTATTCCAAAATTGTATCTTTGAAATGATAATTGTTTACATTAAACAATATATTAAAACTAATAAATTAAGTATAATATGTTAAAAGTTAAAAAATATAACTTTATAAGTAGAATTAAAGATATTATTTTAATATTGAAATTTAGTTTAGATATGATTACAGTTTATGTTAGATATTTATTTAACCTTATTAACCAACTTAAAATTATTATTAGAAAGAAATCGAAAAGTCATAGGAGTTTCAAATTAATGTGGTGGAAGGAAAAATATATGGGGGTTTCAAATGAATGTGTTGAAATGAAAAATGCTTCATTTATAATATAGTATGACATGATATGATATGATGATATGATAATGACTAGGTGAATATTTGTGTGTTGCACAAAATACAACAATATGTTTAAAATCTATACAAGTATATGTTTTTTCTCTGATGGTATAGTTTAAATTGTAAAGTTATGGATGAGTGCACTGAACTGTGAATAAAATATAAATTAAACTGTGATTTTTTAAATTAAACTGAGAATTTTGAAAACTAAATTGTGTTTTTTTTTCCTTTTCGTGCTTTTATATATATATATATATATATATATATATATATATATATATATATATATATATATTAT